TGGGACCTCTGCGTGGCAGTCCGGCATGGTAACCGTTCGGCCACGGAGGCACTTGAATAATTATATAATAATTATTTATAATAATAGAATAATCATTCACCTCTAGTTACCGGTTGCTTGTAGCCGAGATAAGCCACGTAGGCAACGTTTGCGCGGCGCGTACAACCTCAAGCGTAGCCCACACCACGAACGAAGCTAAGCTAATGTAGCTTAACCCACATAGCCGGGGCATGTTTTCATACTTCGGTTCACACCGCGAACAAACCGAGCTAACTAAACTAAACCAACAATCCCGCTGCCTATGTAAAATATGTCTCCCTTCTGCAACCCTCCACCTCCACACGTAACCATATAATCACTACTGTCTATATATTTCCTTATCTTAGCTTTGCATCCAACTATGTGCGCTAAGCTAGCTAATTTAGTTTCTTCTTCTCTTTCGTATCACTCTTGACAGAGTGGTCCTGGTCATCACGGAGTACATTTGTTAACGGCTGATGTGGCTTGTCTCACGACATCTCGCCATCTCTCTCTGTTACTCTAATCTTTTAAGTTAGTTTAGCTAACATAGTTGGTTGCGTGGAACAATGTGAGTTAAGCTAAGTTAGCCAGCTTTGTTCGTGGCGTGTCCAGCGCTTTACGCTTATAGTGAAGGAGGTTCTTGGCAAAACATACCCGATAGACAGCAGTGGCGTCTTGGTTACCTAGCAACCGTAACTACCGATGTTGCGCAGAGAAAATAATAACTATTTTGTTATTATTGCAGTAATAGCATCGTAACGTCTCTTGGCAACTATGCGGCATTATCCTGACAAAGGAAATGCCTTAGTTAAGAAAAATCAGATTTTAAGTACACTCTATTAAGTGAAGAATCGAAATATGTGCTTTGTACCCAGGATGTTTTGAAAAGGACTGAAAAATGTCTGGTAAGAGATGCAACTATACTTTTACAAAGTTATTTAAAGAAATTGATGCAATAGCAATAATGTTTTAATGCACGTTGGTAGCTTTAAGTCGACCTCGTACATTATTATTTGGTTATTTATATATACGTAGATACATAGATACAGACACTATTACAACTGTATGTATGTATTTTTAGGTGTGTAATAGTACAATAATTAGGTGGATATATTATACCTTTCATTTTTATTTGCCATATAAATCACAATGTACACCGTTTGTACTCGCATTTTAAACCACTAAGGGTCGTCATAATGCAAACTGTTGATACAGTTTGCATTATGACGACCCTTAGTGGTGATACACAACATATTCAGTAGTAGTCTGTAGATAATCTATTTATATTAACCAAAAAGATATTACTGAAATAAAACTGTGTAATAGTATCTATTTTATGCAATTGTTGCATAATAAGGGTTCTTAAAGTCGAGCACCGTATTTGGTTACTAAGTATATGTACGGGATTTTAAGACCTAATTATGTAATGATTGAATGCAATACTTTTCTACTAGTAAATAAAATAACGAAACACAACCAATATTTAACGTGTATTTTGTTAACAATCCATGACAACAAACTCAATGGAAAGCCATACAAACGCTACGAAACAAGAAATCAAAGAAGTAATAGAGGCAGCCAATTTAAGTACCGTTTATATTTCAACCAATCATATTTTTATAAAGGTTGCAAGTCTTTCAGGCCAATTTAACCAATCAGGAGGCAATAGAGCGTTTGAGTAGCGTCTTTATTTAGCAAAAATAAGACGTTTTTTTTTGAAACTCACTATAGTTCTCTATAAAAACTAATGTTGGTGTAAGCAACACTTGCAGCTTAAAATTATAAGCGTGTTTACGTGCTTATTTAAAAAAGCAAATTGTTGAAGTGCTTTTTGTTTGTCCACCGGCCGTAAATTTGTCGGCCCCCTCTAACTGCTACTAATATCTAAAATCGAATAAATTATTAATAAGAGATGTCATTTTATACTTCTTAGAGAAAAATTGGAAAAAGTCGACCTTTTACAAAGACGTCAAGTTAAAACTAAAGTAGAAGTCAACGATATTAGATACGATTTATTAAGTTCAAAGTTAAACACTAATTAAATAATAATGCCTACGCACTTTACTTACAAGACTACCTCAAAAAAAAGCTTCCTTGACATTTTTCTGTTGAATGCGTAAGAAGGCTCTCAGAACCAGAAGATCGGCTAGGGGGGGCGGTCAGGTTTATTAATGCATCGACTGTACGAGAGCTTTCAGCTAGTGAAATTACAGGCACATGTGACTTGTCAACTTAAGTCTCAGGGTGACAGGCGCAGTGACAGTCCCCTCAGATCTTGAGATTTAAAGCTCTGAATGGCACTGCAATTGGTATGGACAGGCGTGTAGCTTACCATCAGACGCACGACTTGTTCTTCAAATCACAGGATATTAAAATAAAAATAAAAGAAAGAAGTCTCGCTACATTTCTGTCCGGAGAAAAAAAAATTGACACTCGGTGCGGTTTGGAATATATCGGAAAAAACGAGACTTTCGAGACTGTCTCATAAGTAGGTTTCCATACTTATAGGCTTAGGCAGTCAAAATATATTTATATAGATATTTTAATAAAGTATAACATTAAACAAAATTATAAAATGAAAAATTAATTATGAAACGGCTCGAGTTCAGGAATTAAATTAAATTATATAGTGTTTTAATTATAATGGTGGTATGGTATGGTAGGGATATTGTGAAGGGCTGGGGTCCGCAATTCTATGTCAATGTTATAATACTTTTTATTATTATTATATTAGCTGTTTTTTTTGTGAAGGTTGTGGAATTTAAACTCTATATTAAATATTTAATTTATATACAATTGACATGTAACACGATTACAATGTATTGTTTAAAAAAAAAACCAATTTATTTAAAATGCACCACCTGCTTTACCACAATCTCATGACGAACTGACATATGATTTGCGCCACGTGAACGTAAATACTAACATATTTAAATTTAAAATGTAGGGATTTCGTGACTCAGTACAGTATGGGTTAAATTGCAACTGAACAATTGTTTTTATTTTATTACCTAGCGCCGATTTTCAATTATTACTTTTCGAATTTGTATATCATTACAAAATGGTGTCACGGCGGTGTTCCTAGAACTACATTTACGTTGTCCTTATACAGAGATGTTATCGTAGTAACATCATTACGTTAGTATTATATTATAGTGTAGATACAAAAACTGCCAGCTATGTCAGGACATTTACAACACATTTTATAATGTCCACGGTGGCCCAAGAGAACTACATTTCTCAACTATACTTATAACGTAGTGGTAACAATTGGGATTTCGATGAGACAATGTATTGTACTACACGTTTGTGTTATTATATTAAGCTCCTTGTGAAAGAGTTCGTCCAGGGAAGTACTGCCACCTAATCTATTTCTGCCGCCAAACAGTGAACATTACAGTGTTCGAATTTTGAAAGGTAAGTATGCTGGTGAAATTACAGGTAATAACACTTGTCAACGCATACACGTCTCAGGGTGACGGGCGGGGCCCCGCACTAGAGAAGCACAACACTCTTATAGATTAACATAAATTACACCCAAACAGACGCGAGAAATAAATGTAGGCTATACAAATAGTTCTCCCGGCCCGGAAATCGAACTCGGGACTTCTGCGTCGCAACCCAGCATTGTAACTGTTTGGCCACAGAATTGGCCGTTAGTTTAAATCTCAAGGCAGTTAATTTAAAACTCTGAATGGTAGGCAACTGCTATGGACAGGCGTGTCACTTACCACCAGGCGCACGACTTGTTCGTCCCGTTACTTTTGAATTATATAAGACACCTAAGTCATGCAAGATTTCCTAAATTTGATTTCAATGGTAAATAATACTCGTGATGTGATCAGCAAATGAGAAATGCAAACCTATACCAACACTCGCAACTCGGGAACTATAAGTCGCGTGCTACCAATAAGCTGTAAAATCGCCTAACAATTTCACCAATAGTAATTATCTATGTCCTAAATAGAACACAGCGTAACTTGTTAACATTTCAATTGGCTTTCAAATAACACCGATGGCGTGTCCCATCGAATGGTTTTCCTTACACTCAGGCACACCACATCAATCTTAGAAAACTGTAGCACGTAGGTGTAGAGTAAAAAATGATAGTAATACAACTTTGTAGCTAGTCAGGTGTCTTGGTCGACCTTACTTTTTTTTAATACGTGCAATCGTCTGCATACAGTGCGTGTCTGTATACAGCTAGTTTGAACAATTACAGCAAAATAATCTCAGAAAGAGATCATCCAGGGAAGTACTGCCGCAGTACTGTACGTGAACATCACTGCGTTTCGATTTCGAAGGGTAAGGGTGCTGGTGAATTATAGGCACATGAGACTTGTCAATTTTTGTCTCAGGGTGTCGGGCGCAGTGGCAATGCCCCTCTGATCTTTGTGATTCTAAGCTCTGAGTGGCACTGCAATTGTTAGGGACAGGCGTATTGTTTACCATCAGGCACACGACTAGTTCGTCCCGTCAGTTAGTATTATAAAATAATAATAATAATAATATTAGGTACCTGTTTAATATTTTCCAATATGGATTATTAGCAAATATTTTGTGATTTCAATGAATATTTCCTATTGACATCAAATAACGTGAACGTGTATAAATTTCGTAGCAGTCGTCCGTACATAGATCGAAATAGCAGTTACATCAGTCGCCCGTACAATAACGTAGCCTGTACGATTATGATACAACGCACTGAAACAAATTCCAAAATAGGTTTAGGAGATTTGGAGATCACAAACGTTTATTCTTCATAATATTAGCGGTTTGATGGTAAATATAATAAAGAATGTTATTTTTTTATACGTGATCTTTCATTTAAATACGAAATTGTTTATAACAATCGTTTTTTCGCTAATTGAAAGGCTGTCTTTATTATACTATAACGTAGTTGTTTAATAGAAGTACGTATACCTAGGCAACCCAAGTTTCCTAGGTTCACTCAGTGCTTGCTTGAGAACTAGCGTGATATGGCAGCTTATACGGACCATCTTGAACATACTAATATTTACAATCGTGACCTTGATGGTGGGTACGTCTGCCTAGACTAATTTGGTTCAGGATGTTTTTATAATTCAGAAAATTATTATTTTAACTCGTGTAAACGACTCAGCATTCATAAATGAGGCTATCAACGCAAAAGTGGGCAACCCACATTCAAATTTTTTCGACAATAGCATTATAAATTATAACTATGCCACAAGTACATTATTAATTTGTATTCGGATGCCATTTTCTTGTATGAAAAATATTTAATTATAAATTTTTTATACATGAAAATAGCATGCAAATATGAAATAATTATATGTTTTAGTATAATTTAAAATAATATTCTACGAAAAAATAATTAAACGTGGGTTCCTCCACTTTTGCGCTAGTAGCCTCAAATATTAAAAGCAAAATTATATGAATTAAATTATATTTTTCAAATTCTTCATATTATCATTAGATAGTGAAGAGAGCGATGGAGAAGGAGGCTTTGGAAACTTGAACCGTCTGATAGTGCGGCCTCCAGGCCACAGTGGAAAAGCCAAACGGGGCCAGCTCTGTTTCGACGCGGCCTTTGAGTGCGGGAACCTGGGTAGAGCTGATCACATCACTGAATTAGAATATGATCTCTTCATCAGACCAGATACGTGTAGACCACGGTCAAGATTTTGGTTTAATTTCACTGTTGAAAATGTTAAACAGGATCAGGTAAGTCAGCGCAGGAAAAAAACTGGTTTCTTTTTAAATAGAAGTAAGCAAAAAATACTTGCCAAATAGAATGGTACATAAATCGGCAAACAGTCAGACAAATCACCTGGTAGAAGAAAGTGTAAGTGAAAGCTCCTTGTGAAAGAGTTCGTCCAAGGCAGTACTGCCACCTTACTTATTTCTGCCGCCAAGCAGTAATGTCAGCATTACTGTGTTCCGGTTTTGAAGGGTAAGGGAGCTGGTAAAATTACAGGCACATGGGAGTTTTCAACTTATGTCTCAGGGTGACGGGCGCAGTGGCACTGTAACTGTAATGGACAGGAGTGTAGCTTACCATCAGGTGCACGACTTGTTCGTCCTGTCATATCATGTTATAAACACCTGCGACATCAAGGAAGGATCCTTAATTTAAAAAAAAAACGTTAATATGCAAAATAAACAAAATAATAGTAAACAAAAGGCTCCCTTTGTGACTGATTTGCAGCAGAAATAGGTATGGCAATGTCATCTATCCACACAGATTTGCAAAAAGAAGCAATAATCGATACCGCCTATGAACACTATGCCATCTTAATTTTTGGACCCGTTCTGTTTTTATTTCGTTTTTCGTTTCTTTGTTTTTTTTTCACAAAATTGTTTTTTTATTTTTTTCGAATTTTGTTTTTTGTTTCTTTTTTTTTCAAAAAGTCGGAGCATAACATTAGTAAATAAATATCACTGTTTACAAAAATAACAGGAAATAACCAAAAAATAAAGTTGGCGTAGTGTTCATTCGACTGATCCGAAAAAAATTAATATCATTGAGTTCCATTATCGTTCTATTTGTTAATGTGGAATAGTTTCTAAAGTGGTGGTGTTTGTGACTGTAGTTGCCCTTGCGTTATTTATTTTATTAATTTTATGCGGAGGGAGGGCGGGAAAATGAACTCCATGAAATAATATCTAACATAAGCTCAACTAATTCGCACGATTTAACCTTCACTGAGTTCGCGGAGTAGAAAATTAATTCACTTCCATTTTTAGTTTCTAAAATCTTTGGTAACAATTCACACCCTTGGTGTAAGAAGGCCACATCTGCAAAATGACAACTTTTTTGGAGAGAGGCTTAAAGATTCCACAAACGGAATAGTCGATGACTTTTCCATGCTTCAATAGAAAAGTTATAAGATTTGACATTATACATAATTAGTTTTATGTGGTTCATGTTATTTTTATGGCTTTCATATGATAAAAGAGCTTTTGACGTATAATAACACGTGGCTTTACTTATTCCAAGTGTACGACTTAAATATAACGTTGTTGACAACTTACCTACTCATTTAATTTTAGTTGGAGCTATGATTTTATAAAAATATATATGTGTATGACGACTAATTTATTTTATTTCAGCGAGTTATTTTTAACTTTGTTAACATGGGAAAGGAACACACGTTACTCGATACCGATATGACACCTCTGGTACGGTCCACTTCACGACAAAAATGGTAAGATTTTAGTAATGTAGGTATCTCGTTATATTTATAACAACAGTACAACTTAACTATACATACATGATAGCTATGTGAGAATTAATTCAGCGATTAGCATCGGTGCACGCTCGGGCTCACGTCGTGTCAACTGTCAGAGTGTCAGGACGTTGCTGTCAAGCCGTCTTCGCACATACACCAACATTGCACACAACCACTATACCACAATATTAGTACGATATGCACCTTATGCCTGATATGTGCTTTGCATTAGAAACTCATATTTATTTGAACTTTATTTCTTTATACACAAAACAAAAAGTATATAATATGTGGTCAGTAGACGATGCTGCGTTACATCATCATTAACATCACCCATTTTTTTAAGTAACTTACAGGAATTTAAAAAGAAATGAAAATAAGAACGAAACAAAATATTTCCGCGTGTTACGCTCCAAAAATTTGTTTAACTGCAGCTTGATTTTGATTGCCTCTTCCGATCGGAAACTGCGTCTCTTCCGAGTCGAGGCGCATAATTGCGATCATCGAGTATATAACCAGAAATAGAGACGAAATGTCATTCAGTTTGTTTGAAAACTATTATGCCGTATCACTACTGTGACAACTGCGCTCCGATTGGCTAGCCCGAGTTCGAAACAATTGACGGGTGTCGTCAATGGGTGTCGTCAACTGTTTCACTTCAAATCGATCAGTTAACTTGAGCTTTGCTATAATGGATTTAAATTGCAAAATTACATATTTTATATTTAATTACCGATGAAATGTGATTCCATTTGTTCTGCAATTAGATGTTTTGCAGTTTTTCCCACACCACCGAATAGAACAGCACGGCATTGTTAGACATATTATCTTTATTACAATAAATACAGAATATTTTTTGGAATACACGCAGACGTACACACAGGTCAGTAGTTGGCCTGTCCATATTTCAGTGCAAACGGGAGCAGATATTTATAAGAGCTGTATTGCTAATGTGTTACCAGGAATATATGGCACTTATTTCGTCTCTATTTCTGCTTATATACTCGATGATTGCGATTCACAACCGGCCGATCGGAAACTTTTGACATTTCAAATCGGAACAATAGTTGATTTAACTCACAAATTAGAAAGACATAGTAGGAATCAGGTTCATTTTCTCGTTCGGAAACCCATCTGATTTCGAGACTCGGGTAGGCTACCCGATTGGATCCATTTCGATTTGAATTAAAATCAGCCTGCTAGACTGGAATGTGTGACGTATTGGTGCACTGTGAACATTGTGAATCTAGAAACAGCAGATGGGATTGATACCTACTCACAATTTTTATTTTTAGTTTTCTTTATTATTTTACTTGTATTTTAAATATCTAGATTTAGTTTTAATATATTTTTTTGTTTGTATTCTTCTTTATTGTTATTGTTTTTTATTTGTTTCGTTTGTAACTTTTAATTTATTTACCTAGCTAGATGGTGAATGCCGCTGTACGGTCAAATCAAAACTGGTTTTTGTTACACCCCGTTAGCAGCCTAGATTTAAGTTTTTCTTTTTGCACCTATTTCTTAAATAAAAAAAAAATTATGTCTCATGTGATGAGTATACAAAAAAAATATTTAAGCAAAGTACGGTTGCAAAAATGAAAAAACAATTCGTACTTAATAATAGTAAAAAAAGACTGAGGTACAAATGTACATTTGTACTTATAAGGACTTAACACGGTACAAAACAAGTTTTCGAACTGGACGACGTCCATATTCATTGGAAAACATTCACATAAAAATATCCAAATTAACTACGCGTAGACTAGATTCAATTATGTCGCAACGCGGGACGTATTGGGTCATTTTAAGTGCTCAAGGATAGAAGTTCGATTTTAATGAACATAACTTCATTCAAATTCAACTTTATTTCCTTTTCACAAGGCAAAGAATACCACGTCGTCTGATTTTCTATCATCGCTCATTAATTCACCGTGGGCGCAAAATCTTCAGCTTCGCGTTTGCCTTCGACCGAGAAGAGGATGTGTACCACTTCGTAGCCTCGGCCCCGTACTCGTACTCACGCCTTCAAAAGTATTTGACAGCTTGGGAGAACCGGGCTCAAGCGTTTGCTACCAGGGAGTCTATTGCTACTACTACGGTACGTATTTAATGGAGGAATTGAATTAATAATAATAATGAAATTCATCCTGGAAATTAATTTTATTCATTCCTCTTTGGAGAGTAATAGAAAACTAGATATTTCTATGGCTAACAATACATATCTGAGTAATCCAATGTACACAATTCATTTTTATTTAATAAATAACCATCTAATTCGATTTAAAAATGATTTCTTCCTAAATACATATTTACGACAGTCGTGTCGGAGAAGAATTCAACAGAACGTTGGTTGTGCAATAATCAATACGAATTAATGTCGTAACACTGTATTGAATTGTATTTTTTATTATTAGTATTAAATTATTATTTATTATTAATTTAGTAGTCGTCGAACTCCTTATGAAAGAGTTAGGTAGAGTTAAGTAGAGCGTACTGGGAAGTACTGCCACCTTACCAATTTCTGCCGGCAAGCAGTAATGTGAGTATTAATTCATTCCGGTTTAGAAGGGTAAGGGTGCTGGTGAAATTACAGGCACATGGGACTTGTCAACTTATGTCTCAGGGTGACGGTCGCAGTGGCAATGCCCATAAGATCTTTGCGATTTAAAGCTCTGAATGGCACTGCAACTGTTATGGATGGGCGTGTCGCTTACCACGAGGCGCACGACTTATTCGTCCTGTTACTTGGTATTATAAAAAAAAGGGAATGTAAAAGGGCAATGAAAATCTAAGCTCTTATTGCCAATCTCTTCCTACATTGGTACAGTAAAATTCACTGATAACATATGGGCAGTAGAGTCGGCGGTGCAAAAGACTAAATAAGCCCTGCAATGTCCAATTTGCATACCCATGGTGGAGATTATGGTTGTTAACCTCACAATATAAAATGGTTAGCATTGGTTTATGGTAATTGTATTGATTTGTTAACTATGATATAACTACAAATATAGCCAAAGAAAATACTGAAAATCACTGGAATAATTATTTTCAAAAACAACATTAGCACTTTCACACACATTAGCAATTCCTTTGCTATTGTTACATAGGGCGCTCTATAAGTTTCCGGAACTGGCCACTTACATAAACAACATTTAAAAAGTAATTACAACATTTGAAAATGTAACTCTTTGGCTGTAGAATACAGTTTGATTCATCTGATTGTCACTTGTTTTTACATTGTGGCGTCATTTTAGAAATTGGTTGTCTAAATCCATGGTTATTTAACTTGTGAAAATTTTCGTAGTATGTTTTTCTACGACTTTAAGTGTAATTTAACAGTTTAGTGGAGCTTCACTCGGCTTCAAACTGCTTTTATATAGTTGTCTTGCATGGAGCTTCATCACCAAGCACCATGCAAGACGACTATATAAAGCTGGTTTGCAGAATTCACACGCGGTCGTGTGAATCTCAGTGACGAATTTCGTGATGGTCGCCCGTCCACTGCTGTGAACAACAAAAACATCGACGATGTGCGCCATATAATAAAAATAGACAGGCAAGTGACATACCATGAGATTCGGGCATCTTTAGACATATGCATGAGTCAAATACAGTTAATACTACACAAATATTTGGGTGTGAAAAAGCTGTGCTCTCGGTGGATCCCACACAATTTGACTGAGGCTCAAAAAACGGATCACGTCGATACGCATATTTAAAAAAGTTCGGGAGATAATTTTAGCTCATGGCTCAATATTGAATAATATTACAAGGAAACAAACTGAATTCTTATATTTCATATTAAGAGGATTAAATTGTTTTATCTGTGGCCATTTACATAATTATATAACTACTTCCAGGCTATCGATAAGCGCCATCTAGATATAAGATCGATCTGTGTGAAGATTAGCACTCCTCTGTACAAAGTTATACAAACTCACTTGCATTCCGTTCCACGAAAATTAAATTGAACATAATCATTTTTGCAATTCCATGTGAATCTTGTAAATGAACTCCTCGCCACTGGTACGGCAGGTATCATGAAACGATATGCTATTTATTTATACACGCTTTTTGTCATTACTTAATTCTCTTTCCAGCAAAAAAGGCGTGTCGATCTCTTAACAATAGGAGATTTCAGCGTAAAAGAAAAGGAAGTTTTCGAGGAGCAACTTCAACACTCCAAGGGTAAAGCGGTGGAGCCGAAGAAACGTGTAGTGATCATAATAGCCCGTTCTCACGGCGGCGAGTCGCCTTCTTCTTACGTTTGCCAAGGTAGAAAATCTGCAACCGAACTTGGTCATAAAATGGGCGTTTTCTGTTGTTTTAATTATATACAGCTCCATATCATTCTGCATTACTTTTGATAATAGTACCCCCCCTATCGACCCTTAGGGTATACGAGAAGGGCACTTTAACCTGTGCGCGCACAGGAACCTTATAAGTTCAGGTTCTGACCAGATCAGTCAGTGTACAGGGTTGTCACAGACTTCTGTCACCTGACTTCATCCGGTTCTTCGAGATGCCAGTGCCTCGGGTGAGCCGCCCCGGGTGCATCTACAGTACCCTCCCTATTTTCCAGATAGGTACCGGAGCTCTAAGGTACGCTCACTTCCCGACGCCGATGTCTCTCCAGTTCCCAATAACCTAAGCGGCTGGAGAGACCGGAGGATATTTAGCTTATCCTTTACTAGCTCTCCGGGCTAGTGCCAGAGATGTCAGTCGAGTGTCATGCGACAATGACCGGACATACGTTCCAACCTAAAGGGCAACTAACGTGTCCCGCGCGTCTCCTCGCCCTCAACTAGAACGCTACTCAGACGCGCTAGCTGCTCATAAAGACAAACACCCCGGCCCCACCCAACCGGGGCAGACAAACATGTCCTTCTCTGTAGCTAACTCAAACCCCAGCGAGTCCATACCCAACTCCGGGTCCACCAGAATTGGAGCAAAGGCGTATCACTGGCGGAGGGCTTGGCCCGGATGCCCGCTGTACCCTGGTCTTACAGTCGAGTCCGTATAGTCTATCTGGAAAACCCTATCTCTCGGGTATATATAGGGACTTAATTATGTACAGGAATACATACCTACATATTACCACGCTTGTCTCGCACCGGGATAGGCAGGCATGAACCTCCACCTGCTACGCTCCTGACAAACTTTTGCCCCTCCACCCCCATCAGCAAATGCTCACACACCCGTTTATATTGGCACTTTTAACACGGCCTTTGATGGAGATTTGTACGCCCAGGTCTACCTATCCCCATATCTCTATCCATATTCGCTCTATAAATTTGTACCGTTAATCTACCAATACTCACTGTTTCTACAAGATCAAACCATGGAAGCATCCCCCTTACTATTCTGTAGGGCTAGCAGGACGAGACGTAACTTGCGCGAGAACGACATAAAGCCTGTGAAATCTGTATGCGAGAATAGCAGTATCTCTCGCGTTAGTCGCGCCCTGTTGTGCTTGCCCTACTGGTCATAGTATATCATCTTTCATACCAGTATTTATGTGGTCTGTGACCACAACGCTCTCTTACTACACTGTATAGCAATCTGTCTTTAAGACTAATACCGCACATATTGCCGCAAAGCTCTCATTTTTCCAGCAGTCACCCTACTTTCATGCTTTTAATACTTACATTTACATTATTAAAGAAATAAATGCCAATGTCTTGAAACTAAAAGCAATGGAGATTTTAAGATTATAAAATGGATTTTAAGAGCGTGTAACCATTCCGAAATATTGGGAAAACAAAAAATCAGATGATTGTAACAAATCTGTAATTAACTTAGTGATAATAATTACACTAAAACTAATCAATAAATCAAGTAAGTAGTATATTACGCTAAGTTAACGTGAAAATAAATATTATTGATAGGTTAGACCACAGTTTCCCAAAGTGGTACCGCCTCTTCAGCGCCCACTGGGCGCCAGCCGAGGCCTCGGAAGGAAATGGAGGGCGTTGATGCTGTCCAAGCGGTGCAACCGCATTTGAAGGAAAAGAGTCGAATAATTTGGAAACCTATGGGTGACAATCGAAATTTGAATCTGTAAAACAGACTTTCAGATACGACCAGCTCCTGAAAAGGCAAGAAGATAAAAAGATTGGTAGATATATGATCTGTGCAGTACCTACCCATATGTGTTTTTTTTCAGGTTTTCTGGACTATGTCGTAAGCTCTTCCGAAAAGTCTCGCGCGTTACGTAATGGAATTGTTATTCAGGTGATTTATTATATAATAAAGAATTGTTAAGTAAGTATGATTTTAAAAAGACATCGCGAACACCGCATACCGTATTGTAACACGTCTTTAAAGAAAACTGGCCAAGTACGAGTGCGCACTGGGGTTCTCAGTCTCACTGTTTTCCGTGGGCAAAAAATTTGACCCGGTTCGGTATCGAAAGTCCCAAGAAAAAACTTTCGAGACTATATCAAAAGTAGGTTTCCATACCTACAGGCTAGACATTTAGGCAGTCAAACGTATATTATTTAATAGATATACTAATCAAGTATTTTATTAACTCAAATTATATAATCTCAGTACAGAGTACTAAAAAAACCGACCTCAAAAGTACGTGGAATTACATATATTTGCCAAGTTTTATTGAAATCGGTTACCGGAAAGTACGCAAACCCAGATTCATCCCCTAGTTCGCTACTATACGGAACTTGACACAGGAGATAATAAAAATCGGTTCTCACTACTCAAAGTATATTGAGAGAAATAGAATTGGAGAATAGCAAAATCAACCATTAAATAATTGCTCCTTATAATAAAATTTAGGCGCTATTTATAAAAATGAAACTTCATGCGTGAACTATGCTTAGAGGTGGATGATTTTCTTCAAAATTAAATGGGACCACTACTTTTCCAACAAAAAAGAATCATCAAAATCGGTTCACAACGGAAGAAACAAAGGGCGTTTTTTTTATTTCTGGCACTTCGCAGTTTACGTTTGTGCCACTGTAAAATGGTGAAAATTATTTATGACAAACAATGGAAAGGAAAATGAAGGAAAAAATAAGTTTTTAAAAGTAGCTATAATGCTAGTAAGAACCGAGACATTGGGTCTCGGTTATTAAGTAGATAATGGTATTTATTAGATGTTAACGTTATCTAATTCTAAATTATTGTCATTCTATGGACTAGTTACGTCTTTAATCAATGATTTTATTTTAATAACAAAAATTGAAATTTAATATTTTAGGCCATGGGCAAAGCCAGAGTCTAAAATAGATATCCAGAATAATAATAAACATAATAATAGCTAATTATTACTATTATTATTATTAGTTGTTATCGATGGTTGTTATTATAGTACCTGTTATTGTAATCGGTGAAGATTTGTGTATAAAGATCATTGGTGGAGATTATAAAACGAATTAAACAATTATAACATTTTTATAAAAAAAAGATCTCAAAAGTTCGTGGAATTATATCTATTTGCCAAGTTTTATAGAAATCTATTACCGGAAAATGCGCGAAACCGGATTTCATCCCCTAGTTCAAGAATCAGAAAACTCTGTTCACAAAGTCATCCCTGAACATACTTGCTCCTTTTTTGAAGTCGGTTAAAAACGACAAACACATAGGGTCGTATTCCAGAACTCTACTCAATGCTCAAATCAGGACTTGAGTATGATTTCAAGCACTGGAAATACGATCCTAATGGCAAGGACTTCAGTATGATTTCTAGTGCTTTAAATCATAATCAAGTCCTGACTGGAGCATTGAGTAGAGTTCTTCCAGAACTCTAATTGATGACCCTAAGTTCCACTCTACAGTGTTGCCATGTAACCAGAACAAAAAAGGACGTTGGTTTAGTATTGAATAGGTACTGTTTAAGTGATTTTAGTCTGACAACATAAGTTTCGAGCCAAATAGACTCGATATTTTCGAGGCTGAGATGAAAGCTCTTGTACGCTCTTGTGCCAAGTTGACTTTTCCCAAAAATGAAAATTATGACAGTTTTCCTACATTGCTTAATTAAACATTAGAATCAAGAACTTTTTTCTGATACAGGTGATTCCCATGCTAAACCCCGATGGGGTGTTCCTGGGCAACCACAGGTCAGACCTTCTCGGTTCTGACCTCAACCGTTGCTGGAATAAGTCTACCTCTTATTCGCATCCAGCCCTAGTCGCCGTTAACGATATGATCAAGAAACTTTCTTGTGAGAAGGTGCCCAAACATTTTTAGATATGTAAAATATTGATAAATCATTTATTTTTGCGCGCTTTTAAAACTAATAATAAATAATAGGACGGAACAACGATATACGAGTATAATTAAGGCATTTAACTTATCTAAGTAATTATACAGGCTGGAAAAAATCAATGGGACATTTGGATTAAGTACTATTTCATGGATATCTTTAATAATAATATCAAATGTTGATTAGAGTGGATTTCATCGTTATCATTGATCCTATCGATTAGTGTAATATAATAGTGAGTGTTCATTTTTTGCATTTTATAAGGCTGCATTTTCACCAGATGTGCGAGATATCTAGACCACCAATAGGAACACTTTCCCAGCCTAGCTTAGCGTAGCTCTGGTGGAAAAGGGCTAGCGGAGCTGAGTATTTGTACATGTAAAAAAGCGAGAGATGTGCGCGGGGAATGTGAGCGAGAAATGTGTGCGAAGTACACGAACTCCGCTCACCTCACCGAACCGCACCCCATCCGCGGACAGCTGAAAAGAGTCTACTACGCACCGCCCAGCCACACCATTTCACAGCTTTGCTACGCATCCGCGCACCGCCTAGCTACCTCGCACAGCTTTGGTGGAAACTATCACACCATTTCTCAGCTCAGCTACACATCCTCGTACCGCCTAGATTTCTCGCGCATCTCTAGTGGAACAGCAGACTTATAGTTGGTTCGACTTCAGGTTCAGGTAAGCGTTATAATTTAAATTACATTAATTTTTTTTAAATCTGTGAGCGCACTTTCACTGTTTTTTTAAAAGCTTGTCTACATTGATATTAAGAAAAATAAAATAATGTTTATTTTAAGTAATAAGTTTACTGTATAATAGACCAGTATAACGCTTTTGGATGCAATAAGTAGACCCTGAGGAAAATTAAAACCACCTAATCAAGGTATGAATGCCATGAGATATATCTTTATATCCGTGTTTTTTTTTTAATATCTCGTTTGTACTGGAAGGCTCAATTTACATTGTCGCGGAACTGAAGGTAAGCCAATTTTATAAATGGCTTATTGAAACTTATGCCAATTGTGTACGTAATGTATGTACAAATTGGACGCATAAAGTAGCTGCGAGAATTCTCGAGACTGTGCGAGAATTCTCGAGACTGAGCGAGAATTCTCGAGACTGAGCGAGAATTCTCGAGACT